TATCGTGTGATCTAGCACATGAGTCTAGAAGCAATACTTTGATGTGCTTCTTAAGACCAAGATCCCAAGAGTTAACCTCTGCTATCAAAATATGCTGCCTTCTAGGAAGGGTGCATCCTGTTAACTGAAGGCCTTTTGTTTTTCTGAATGTTGAATAGGGTTTGGATATGCAAAGTTTGATGGGTAGGAGCTGAGAGATAGGGTAAATCTGTGAGGAAGAAGAAAAGAAACAATGAGGTTGATGCTGAAATGTTAGTAGGGTGTGCTGGAGCTGGCACCTATGGGTTCCCAAGGGCTGATTGTTGGCATCTCTTCCCAACTCCTTGTTCAGTGACATCATGTTAGTAGTGTGAAATCAACCATGGTGAGAATATTTACACCACAGCAGTCAGCAACTCTACAAATGAGCCCTTCCCACCCCCCAAAGAGCTGGTTAGTAAACATTTACAGCACAACACTGGATAAAATATCCCTATGTCAGAGCAGCGAAGGAAGTTGCTTTGGAACAGGGATATCTAATGGAGAGTTTTTTCAGATTGTTTTCTTCTCATTCTTCCCTTGACATCTTTAGTAAAGTTCCTTTTATTCACTATTGTTTTTTATTTTTTTGGTGATGAAGATTAGCCCTGAGCTAACATCTGTTACCAATCTTCCTCTTTTTGCTTGAGGAAGATTGGCCCTGAGCTAACATCCATGCCAGTCTTCCTCTATTTTGTATGTGGGTTGCCACCACAGCATGGTTTGATGAGTGGTATAGGTCCACGCACAGGATCCGAACCCATGAACCCAGGCTGCCAAAGCAGAGGGTGCCAAACTTAACTGCTACTGGACACCAGGCCAGTCCCTTCATTATCGTTTTTATGCATGTGAATTCTTAAAGGAGATGAGGACAAGGGTACCACTGCTATCTAAGTACTGACAAACGGTAGCAATAACTGTCTTTATTATTATTCATAACATTAACAACAAATGATGCCTTTTCTTCCCTGTGCGGGTGCTAATGGAGCTGCTTTCCTCAGGCAGGACAGATTCCTGTTCACCTCCTTCATAGCAGGACATAGTTCAGGGCCCCCAATTATGAGAAACCATTGCTCCATTTGAGTCCTGCATGACCAGGGAAGTTCTCTCTGACGTAGTGACATGTAAGCTGAAGCCTAGGATAAGAAGAAGCCATGAGAGAGGGAGAGTGTGAGGAAGCAAGAGAAAGCATTCCAGGCAGAGGGAACTGCAAATTCAAAGGCTACAACATAGGAGAAAGGGCCAGTGAAACTGGAATGAATGAATGGGGAGACAGCAGCCAGAGATGAGGTTTAGCAGTAGGCAGAGATCAGCTATACCGTTAACCACCAAGAGAGGTTTATTGGCCTCAAGGAACTTGTCAGAGATTACAATGTCATGTTTCCTGATGCTCAACATTAACTAAAGCTTGGTTGACAGATACAATATTAGTAAAGGATTGCCCTGAGGGTATAGAGTGCGTGCTTATCTCTAAAAATCTATCTGCGCGTTAAGTCAGATGAGCTGAGAGCTAGACTGCACTGTTGAAAGGTACTATGAATTAATGCCACAAGATCAGATTAAAGGATACGTGGCAAACCTCAGATATGAGGTCATCCAAGATGACCCCAATGATGTCCACCTTTGTATATTCCCCTTCCACACTGAATCCAGCTGACCTCTATGACCAGTAGGATACTGAGGAAATGACAATGTGTGATTTCTCAGATTAGGACATAAAAGACATTGTAGCTTCTGTCTTTTTCTTTCTTGGATCATTTGCTCTAGGGAAGTCAGCAGCCATGTCGTGAGGACACTCAAGCAGCCCTATGAAGAGGTTCATATAAGAAGGAGCTGAGACCTCCTGCCAACAGCCAACACCAATGTGCCAACCATGAGAGTGAGCCAACTTGAAGTGACTCCTCCAGTCCCAGTCAAGTCTTCAGATGACTACAGCCCTGGCTGACACCTTGATTGCAACCTCATGAGAAACCCCAAGCCAGAACCATCTAACCAAGCTGCTCTTGAGTTCCTGATTCACAGAAACTGTATGAGATCATAAATGTTTATTGTTGTTTTAAGCCAAGAAGTTTTGGTATTTTGTTATGCAGCAATAGATGAAAGCAGACATTGTAAGAAACAACCCTAATATACTATTTGCTGCAATAACGATAACATTGTTTATTAGGGGTATTGTCTGTGAGTTTTGGCAACTTACTTCATCTTGCTACGCTTCAGTTTCCTCATCTCTCAAAAGGGACTAATTAATAGTATCCATCTTTCACAATGTTTATAGCATTAACTGAAATAATAGATGTAGATATCTTAGAGAATAAAATGGAATCATAGATAGCCCATAGTAGAAACTCAATAAATATCATCCATCATTATTATTTGCTTTTATTTTTATGACTATCATTTTTAAATTTTAATTTTAACCAAATCTGCTTCTCCTCCCATTTTCAAAAATCAGAAACACAATGATCCAGGCAGTCAAAATACCAGAAACCTAAATATTATCCTTGACTGAATTTATGCTCATTCTTTACATCCAATCAATCATGTTCTAATGATTGTATTCACTAAGTACTTTCAGACTATTTTCTTTATCCCTACTCCCACTGCCTTGGTTCAGGCCTCCAGCAACTTCCATCTGGACTAGTAAATAGATTCCTAAATTATTTCCTGCCTCTAATCTTGTTCCCCTCAAAACTGTTTTTCACACTGCAGCCAGTGACCTGTGTACAACACAAATATGATAAAGCCATTCCCTGGTGAGACCTTTCACTGGCCCTCTGACAGCTATATAAAGTCCATTCTTCTTAGCATGACCAACAGCCAGGATCTGGCTATTGCCTGCCTCTCCTCTTATTAACACAGTGTAACCAGGTGCTAATTCTCTTATTTCTTGCATTTGGTACCTTTCTTTCATAGTATTGATTTTCCTTAGATGTTTGGCTTTGTTTTATTTTTTCCCTTCTTGTCAATATTTGCTGTGTGGGTCTAGATTAAACAGATTATTTCCATGCTCAAATGAGACTCTCTGGTCACCTAGCAATGGGTTCAAGTTTTGGTCACAGAAGACTATTTCTGATGATTGCAGGTAAGAGTTGGATCAGGCAGCAAGGTGAAGAGTAAGGACATTCACACTCTGAGACCGGGACATAAAATACTCTGCCACACACACACAAAAATTACTTAAGAAGACATAGGTGCCTTTTCCACTTTGGATAGGCACTCAGTCCTGGCACAGCAAGATCTGCATCCCTAAATATCTGCTCCTGTGCTAACACTGTTCAAGCCCCAGAGAAATACGTTTCCTCATCTCATGTCCATGACCTTGAAGCAGAGAAAGATAACCCTGCCCAAATGCCTTGAAAGTTTGTGAGTTGTGCCCTACCGATTTCAGAAATGAGTATTGTTTCAACAGGGAGGATTTGAGAGGCAGAAACAGTGAAGAAAGAGAAAATACAAATTAATTACTGTGATAAAACCTTCCTCTCAAGATCAATGCAATAGTTTTTTGTGTAATGAAGGATTATTCTTGAAGAGGGCTGAGCATCCACTTTCTTCCTTGCCTTTGGGATCTGGAGTTTCTCTTGACTTAGCCCAACATTTGAAACAATTGTACATGATAACTGAATAAAATTTTGCAATGTTAAATAATTCATATTACTCTGAAATTTGTCTATATGTGTTGAGATAATAGACATGCAACGTGATGCTGATTCTTTTTATTGGCAACTAGATTGACAATGAAGACTAAATTTGTGACTAGTTTTTAGTGTATTTTACTTAAAAATTAACAACATTTAAATAAAACTTTTAAAAATTAAATTTAAATTTTGGCATTAAAAGTAATTTGATTCAAAAGTTCATTGTTCATTAACTTGTATTTGTAGTTTGTCATTTAATTTTAAATAATTTAGAAGAAAATATTGAAAACATAAAAAACATTTTCACATTTACTTTAACATGCATTTCGACAAAAAGAATTAAATTTTGTACATTTTAAATAGAATCACATTTTATTCCTAATCCCTTAGATAATTATTATCAATGGAACAAAAATTACGTGAAAATCTTGATTATAATAATATAGTTAGTGATTTCACTAAAATGAGCAAGAAAAATAAATGTTAAGGAATAAATATAATGATTTATGAATTACAGATTTTTTTTTTTGCACATCTAAACATGATTGCACCATCAACAGAATATCCAGACAGGTACAATACTAATTAAAATCAGACCTCATTAATATTTTGCAAAACCATGGCTTTGCATGCTTAAAAAATTTTGTTATGGGGGCCAGCCTGGTGGCATAGTGGTTAAGTTCGTGTGCTCTGCTTCTGTAGCCTGGGGTTTGCTGGTTCAAATCCCAAGCATAGACCTACAAACTTCTCATCAAACCATGCAGTAACAGTGTCTTGCATACAAAGTAGAGGAAGATTGGCACAGATGTTAGCTCAGGGTCAATCTTCCTCACCAAAAAAAAAAAGCTTGTTATGAAGGAGTATTTGTCAAGGTAGAAAGATAAGATATGTATATTTATGAATGTACAAAGAGAGAGCAAGAGACTGAGCTTACCTTGTGATTATGAAGGCAACTTACTCTGACCTGGGGCTCTGCACTTTATTTTCTGAAACACAAATCTCTTTTTACAGAGAAGTGCTCATAACTTATTTTGGAATTTTTCACCCTCTGTAGTCTTGGCCAAAGTCTAGAGTTACCTCTGGCTCATCCTTTGCAGAGGGTCCAGGCACCCAGCCTATGCAGGTCCACAAGTTGCCTGAGGGCTTGCTGTTGGATGGGGCCATTCCCTAGCACAGGCTGCCCTACCTGGCTGAGCTGGATTAAATTGGTGCTCTAGTGGGTGGGGCAGACCCTAGGCTAACAGGCAGGGAAAGAACTCCAATGGCATCTGCCAGTGTCTATGTCAGCATGCCTGTACTAGGTCACAATAATGGCTGCTGCCAAGGTCTCAGTCCTTGGAGAGGTCTCACCTCTCACCAAGATGCACCCAGAGCCTATCAGGTGAGTCTGTTTTCACCAAAGGACTGTTTACCTTTCTTTCTGGTGATTTTAGGTTGCTTTCTGAAACAGGAGAATTTGTGCATGGGCCCTTTAAGAGCCAGCTTTTTCCCCCTTATGTCTGACAGCTTTTCTGGAGGTATTCCCCATTATTGTTAGTAACCAGTGACACCAGATATTATGAGACTCGTCTTGTTTGTTCTGAGTCCAAAGGATGCTTATAGCAATAATACTCCACCGCTCAGGTCTCCCACTCCTCCAGAGAAGGCTGCAAACCTTAGGATTACTCCCAGCTGGCCGTTAAGAGCTGCAGCTTGCAAAGGTGGCTTTTTTTCTCTCCAGAGAGAAATTTTTGCCTCTTCCACCTCAGTCAGGACTGTCCCTTGTTGTGGGGGTTCTTTTTATCCAGTTTTTAGTTCTCTCTCAAGGGTAATTATTCCCAGAGAAGTTGTAAGTTGGTTGTGTCCAACATTGTGTATCAGATAAAAAGAATTGATGTTGATAGGCCTTTAGTGTGAGGTTTTATGTTTATCTGGCTAGGAGTTAGGCTGTGTGTATAGTTTGCTGTAGATGTGGTGTCAGTGGCTAAAATTTTCTCTTTGTTTTTTTCTTTCCTGCTGTCTTTGAGTTTTCCTTGAGACTCCCTTTTTAAACAGAGTCTGAGGCTTGCAGGTCTTTCCATTGTAGTCCACTATTATTATACACAGTCCTATTGATGTGGTGGTGAGGTGTGGGAGAGGGAAAGCATTCCACAATCCTGTGATTAGATCTCAGTATTTTAATGCCTCTGAGATGTGACCTTCACAAAAGTCTCAGGGTTTTTTCCTGCCTCTTAGATGGGACAGGAATGCTAGAAGTGGCTGGAATTGGGCATTTCCTTTCCCCTACATCACTTAGGTTCAGTCAAAATCCACATTGGTTAGACTCTGGTAAAATAGTTTTCCTTGAGGGCAAGACTTTGTCAAGGAGAACAAAATGCTTTGGGCATATTTCAAAGTAGCTATTTTCGCCTCCCCCTGCCAGAAGCGCGAAGGAAATTTCTCAGATATTCATGCTGAGAACCTGGGGGGCTCCTGAAGGAAAAACTCATGAAAGTCCGAGGGTTCCTTCTAAGGCTGGGTCCTCAGGATACTTGACTCTCGAGCTAGTCCACACTCAGGCCCCAACAATTAGTCAATTACCTTTTAGGTTTTCATCCCAGTTGCTAGTTCCAGTGGCCATTTCCGCTCCAGCAGGTGAGCTATGATTTCCTATGTTCACCTGTCTCTCCAGTTTTCAGAGTAGTGGATTATCCAGGACCTCAATTCTCTGATGCATCTAAGGAGAGGTGTTGATTTTCACATTGTTCAGCTGTTTTTTTCTTGTGAGGACAGCAGTGTCAACTTCCATACTCTTTACATGCTGGGTCAGAAATCACCCAGCACCTCTTTTTGTACAACCATGAGCTAAAATCAATTTTTGCTTCTTAAAAATTGTTGAAAAAAATCAAAAGAGGAATGTTATTGCATGACTAGTGAAAATTACATGAATGTCAAATTTTAGAAGCCAGAATTAAGCTTTATGGGAACACAGCCATGGCTTGTTTATTTACATACTCCTTATGATTGCTTTTGTGCTACAGGGGCAATTTGAGTAGTTTTGACAGAGATCTTAAGGCCCACAATGCCTAAAATATTTATTATCTGGCTCTTTACAGAAAAGAAATTTCCAATCCATGTTCCCTATCTCTTAATATTTCTTTATATTTTCGATTTCCTTTTCTTTCTGTGCTACATTCTGGATAATTTTGTCAGATGTACTTTCCAGTTTATTATGATATCTTTAGCTGTTATCTAATCTGCTGATTTAGTCATCTTTTTTCTTCAACAATTATATTTTTAACTTCTAACATTTTATTTTATTCTTTTTGTCACTCGCTCATTTTTCTGATACCATCTTTTACTCCTTTAAGCACTTATACATATTCATTTTATATTCTGTATCTGATAATTCCACTATTTGAACCCTTTGAGGTCTAAATATGATGTTTGTTGCTTCTGCTCCTAATGCTGGTTGTTTCTGTATGTACTTGATGCTCTTTGATTGTGAGCTCATATTTGGTAGATCTAGTCTGTGGTCCTCTGTTAAAGGATGCCTTGTCTGGAGAGCATTTTGCTCTGCTGAAAGCCAGAGAGAGGAGTGCGATCTGGAGCACTAGAGCCTTCTTGCAATTTCTTTGGCTTAATCTAGGAGTCTTAAATTCAGTACTTCAATCTTTCCCTGTTGGCCCAAGACTTGTTTTCTTAACTCTAGCTACAATATTGGCAACAAAATTGACAGCTGTCCTTAGGTATATCTATCTTTCCCATCTGCATGCTCCTCAATCTTTCTTTTCAGCTCAGTTTTCTTTTTTATTATTCTGGCCCTTGGGAATTTCCTGTAATCTCAGCAACATGATAAAATTATTTTTTATGTGTGCAATCTAGATGTTTTGTAACAAGAAGATGTCCTGGCTACCTAGTCCTCCATATTGCTGGAGTAGCGGTCCTATCCAATTCTTTCTTCTGCACTTACAACTAATTTTGGCACCCACTTGCTGGTTTATCCACTTCCCAGGGCTAGGTAAGGGAATTATTTCTTTTCTACACTTTCTACCTTCTCCTTTCCTTTGTTATACATCCCTATACCTTTCCTTGTCTTTATCACCCACTTTATTCCGTTAATAGATACACAAACTCTGAGTAAATGGTGATGGTACCTTTTCTTTGACTAAAGGAACACCTGTTATCTGGTTTCTTGGCAAGGACAAAACTTAGCTTGGGGCTCTTTTTAAGCACCTTGGGTCTCATTCTGTCTCTTCCCATTTCTAAGGACACATGACCTCCATTTCCATCCTTAACCCATTTAAACATGCTCTCTTTGTTGACATGGTTTAATTTTTATTCACTGATGTCATTATTTCAGGTCTATTCTGTGGAATTGCAGTGTCCTTTCTTGTTCCTTGGCTCTCCATGGTATGGCTTAAAGCTAAATGCTTTTCTTCCTCTGTTTACATCATTGCCCACATATTTTTCTGTCATTTTTTAGATTGATTAGTTACTTCTGTAGCTGTTGTCATCAGTTACAAATGGCTTTAGATGAAGAGACGAAGAACATGAAAATACTTTGTAAACTGTAAAGCTAGGTAGAATGCTAAAGACTATTCAGGATGAGATACTCAGGATAATTTAGCCTGCAGCTAAGGCAAATGCCCCAACTTTGGTTATGCAGAAAAACAGTCTTAAAGGCTTTGGAAGCTGAAAGAGGTTTGTACAGGAAGAGAAGTCTGTGCCTTTCAAAGGGGAAGTGGAACATCCTATTTAGAAGCTGCTGCCAATTTGATTCTTCCTCTATTTAAATAGAGCAAATCCGTTTTTACCAAAGACAGAGGACAGAAGAATCACGGAGAAGTCCTCCAGATTTATACTTCCAATGGTTTCCATCTCTCTCAATTTGTTATTGTGCACATAGGCATAGAGGCACAGAGGATAATGATTGCATGCGCCCATGAAACGTGATGTGGAAGAGTAGAAGGAATTACAGTGCTAATGGACAATATGGACAGGGATCTTCAAGAAGCTTATGTTAATTCAAAATGATGAATTACCCATGACAGCCAGGCTATGGTTAAAGGGCTAAAACCGGGAAGAGGCGGGTTTCTGATGCACATGTCTGAGTAAGGGAACTAGGAGACCTTATGGATATAGAAGAAAGAGCATTAGACTAGGATTCTGGAGACTGTTTTCTTGAGCTAAAAAAAAATTGATCACTGAATTGTCACATGATGTAACCAGCTCCTTGTTGGATGTGTGGTTGCCTTCCAACTCAAATTCTGTGACTCTATCCTCATTACCAGTTGACAAAGCGTTGTCTGAGTTGAAAAACGAGGCCTTGATTAACATTTTTGGTTTGTTTGTTTACCCTAATTCCCTGGGTTTTAATTCCCACGTTTTTGTGTTCCTGACTCGTGTGCAGTCAGCCACTAAAATTAATGCAGGAAAGAGAAAATACATACATCCTCTATTTCCCCTAGGAAATAACTCTACCTGTTCTGTTATATGGTAAATACCCAAGTCCTAAAACATCCCAACAGAAACAACGCTGGAGTTTCCAGCGTTGTTCCTGGGACACATCCCTGACAACAGGGGATTTCATCCATTTTGTTTCCCACAGCACTTCCCAGACGCTCTTGCATAAGGAATTCCAGAACTTTTTGATAGTACTCGTCACATACACAAAAAGCCTAAGAGTAGTTTCTAGTGTTATAAACATTTCAGAATATTTTTAATAAATGATTCTGTTTGCCTTTCAGTCTGCAAGTCTCAGATTTAAGGGCACAATGAAAAACTTGTTCTTTGCATTCTATGGATCACCGCAACTTCCTGCTATGAATATTGCTTCTTTTAACTTCTGATTGACTCCTGGCTGATTAATTCTAAGCAGCCAGTGCAGGAATTCTCAGTAATATCCCAAAGCATGACCTACCACGTAATCGTGTCATTTTCCTTCATGATATCAGGGTTGTAGTCTAGATCCAGATTCAGGCTCCCCGGCTCCCTAGATCCTAGAAAATGAACCTGTTGGTTTATTCACGTTTGAATTGTGCCTACCCGGGCAATCTTCTGCAAGCACTCCTGCATCCAGAGGCACAGGTCCCTAAACCACCCCAGATCAGAATGTCTCCTGCTCTCTACAGCTCTCCAGTAGCAAGGCTACACCATCCCTTCATTTCCATTTCTGCCTCTTACCATCTGTCCTTCCAAGTCTTCCAAGGATGGCTTCAGAAAGAAAAGTCAGGTTTTCAAGATCTGGCCCTCAGTATTTACTTCTCTTAGCTAAAGCTTGTTTCTCCCCTGACTAGACTGCAAGCTTCCTCTTGCTGACAGGAATATGCCTTTTTCTGTTTGGATTGCAGCATCCAGAACAGTGCCTGGCACATAGTAATCACTTTAGGCTTATTCAGAGTGACTGAATGAGTAAATGAACAACTATTTCTCTTAATGGGCATTGAATGGGTGAACACAATTAACTTTTCTATAATGGTTTCATTTTCTATCTCTTAACATGGCTGAGACTGATTTCTAAATTCTCCGCAGGGAAGAATGAGCCTATTTCTAAGACAACACTCAGGTAAGTTTCTGAATTATAAAACATCTATGCACCCTAGTCATATATTCACCTTTTTAAAAGATGCAGCCCTATGTGATTGATTCAAATTTATCTTGTCTACATTTTTCAACTGCTTTTGTATACAGGTAAGTCTTGTTTTATTTGCTAGCGTCCACCATCCCCCACCTTCAGTAGTCGACCTGGAAGAAGGAATACATCTTTGTGTCATTTTGTTCAGCTTTGATCACTGGCTTGACTATAGAATACCTGCTGAGCAAACGTGCAGATCCCTAGATAGGAGAGCAGCTATGTTGGATGACAGTAATCAGATGCTCAAACTCTGGGTAAACAGGACTCTAGGCAGAACTAACGAGGAAATGCAAAAATGTGGAAAAAAAAAAAAAGTCCAGTACAAGGTACAAAATGAAGCAGATGAGAGCACGGTGAAAGAGCCTTTGAGCTCATTATCTCACTGTGTTGCCTTTGGACTCTTTTTTTTTTTAACCGTTCTTAAACCTCAGACTCCTCAACTGTGAAACAGGAAAAATTTGTTCAAATATGTATTAGTTTATTATGTGCCAGGCACTATTCTAGGAACTGGGGACAAAACAGTGAACAATACAAAGTACTTCTTCTCACTGAGCTTACATTCTAGAAGGGCAGTGAGACAGCATATATATTAGCTAGTGATGTACGCTTTGAAAAAAACATAGGGCACTCATGTAAAAAACTTAAAATAGTACCTGGCATTCCAATAGGCAAAAGGTGGAAACAAACCAAATGTCTACCAACCGATGAATGGAGAAACAGAAGGTGGTATATCTACACAATGGAATATTATTCAGGCATAAAAAAGAGTGAAGTATTAATATATGCCACAATGTGGATGTACCTTGAGGACATTATGCTAAGTGAAAAAAGGCAGACACAAAATGTCCTATATTGTATGATTCCGTTTATAGGAGATATCCAGAATAGCCAAATCCATAGGGACAGAAAGGAGGTTAGTGGTTGCCAGGGGCTAGGAGTAGTGGGGGATAGGGAATAACTGCTTAATGGGTATGGGATTTCTTTTTGGGATGATGAAAATGTTCTGGAACTAGGTGGTGCTGACCTTTGCACAACACTGTGAATGTATTGAATGCCACTAATGATAAATTTTATGTTACGTGTACTTTAACACATTAAAAAAAAATAGTACCTGGCATAATATAAGTATTCAAGAAAACTTACACAGTCATGTGTCACTAATGTTGGGGACAGATTCCGAGAAATAGGTCGTTAGGTGAATTCATCATCGTGTGGACATCCTAGAGTGTACTCATAGAAACCTAGATGGTATAGCCTAAGACACACCTAGGCTATATGGTACTAATCCTATGGGATCACCGTCATATATGCATTATGCTGTTGACTGAAATGTCATTATGCAGTGCATGACTGTTTATTGTGTTTTATAACAAAACAAACAAAAATATCTCAAGAAATTTCTAGGTGAATAATTAAATAAATTTTTAACCACTGGGATGCTATGCAGGCTTTGAAGAGAGTGAGCATGGCCTATGAGTACATAGTACATGCATGGAAAGATGTCCAAGATGCACTTAGTGAAAAAAAAGCCAAAGATCAGCACATACTAGGCATGATTTCTGTTAAAATACATATGCATACGCATACACGTTTATACGTGCCTAGAAAACAACGGGACTGGAAGGACAGATAAGAAAAGTGACAACAGTGGTTACCTCTCTGGAGTGAAGAGCCTGGGGGGCCAGGGAATGTTTCTTTTTTGTGCTTTTTACTCTTGTGTGTTGGTTGTGTGTGTGTGTACAACATACATTTTGAAGTTTTTAGATCATGAACTCAGAGTTAAGAGTGTGACACTGCAGTCAAAAAAATTCTAATCTGCTCATAGGTGGCATTATAAGAAATACAGAATCTAGAACAAGGGAGGTAGTGACCAATTTTGAGAGATAAAATTTATTGGCTTCATACTCTTTATGAGGATAAAACTTAGCTTGTCACTTTCTCAGTGTAACAGTCTTTCTTCAACCCCCGTGAGGGGTTTCTGCAGGTTGTCAGAGATGCGGTAAGTTCTTTTGCTTCCCAGAGTGGTGAGCACACCACAGGCACTCAACGAACATTTGCTCAATGTTCCTCAAGTCCCAAATAAATGGTAAGGCATAGGATATTTGGAGCTTTTGTTCAACTTCCCCCTTAGCTCGTTAAAGCATGTCTTTATTTTTATCCACTTATTTAAGTCGCTTTCTTTTTTATTGAGGTAACATCGTTTTATAACATATAAATTTCAGTTGTACATCATTATATTTCTCTTTCCGTGGACTATATTATGTTCACCACCCAAAGACTAATTACGATCCGTCACGGTACTCATGTGCCCTGTCACCCCTTTTGCCCTCCTCCCTTCCCCTTTCCCCTCGGTAACCCCAATCTAATCTCTGTCTCTGTGTGTTTGTTTGTCGTTGTTTCTATCTCCCACTTATGAGTGAGATCATATGGTATTTGATTTTCTCTGTCTGACTTATTTTGCTTAGCATAAGCAGTGTCTTTAAAAATGAAATTAATATAGGAGCATAAGACAATAGTAAGAAAACCCATCCACAAGTCTGAACTCTTAAAAAAAAATGATTTTATTGATCCTTTACCATACAAAATTTATTCAAATTACACCCATTTGAAGTGGTAAGATCACAGCTAGGGAACAGGTTACCCTGTAACAAATCTATTTACAAAATCCATCATAAAAGCTTTTTTTTTTTTACATTATATTACATATTTTCTTTTTTTTGAACTAGCATACAACACAAAGCTAAACTGATTAGTAGTTTGCCTACTCCCAATTTCGGGAGAAATACTTCCTTTTGACAAAATCACGTACCCCATAGGAAAAGAAATTCCCACAATCTGATAATTGCCACCTGACTCACTCTGCAAGACATCTTCCTTCAAATCCTTCCTCTCATACACACGAGTTGTCATGCACACACTGAGTTCTTAACTTTCTTTTTCCTGAAAGCTAAAGCTTTAAATACTGCAATTTTATTTACAGATCTACACTTAACAACAAAAATGAAAACAAGAACCACAACAGAAAACAAAAACAAAATAACACTCTTAAAAAATTACAAACCAGCTAGAAAATATTCTGGCAGTGTTTACAAATTAATTGCTATCTTTGTACAAAATTGCTAGATAATGAAAACGTGAGTAGACTACATATCAACTTAAATAAAAAGATCGCTATGCACAAATCTGTACATATAAACACACACCTAACACTGTTTGACAGCTCATGTGTTGCCCTTTATACATTTTATTTTCTAAGGCTCACGCAGTCATAATTCGCACACTTGTAACTTTTAGCCATTTCATGTGTGAGCTTTAATAGCAGCAACTCAATGGTACCAGGAAACCTGCATACTTAGTACTTAAAGTAACACAAATACTGTAGTACTAACCCACTTTGTGTGCCAGATACTATGTCAAAAAGAAAATGACTAATGCAAACAGAATACAGTATGGACATCTAATTAATGTACGCCAGTTAAGCCCATTAACTGGAAAAAATGTTATGCATGAAGGAACTTTTAAGACTTATTAGTATTCCTTTCATTTTTAAAACAATAAATACGGCATTACATTACGTAAAGGTTTAACGAGAAATTCAACAAAACACACAACAACCTAGCCAGGTGAGCTCAGTCTTGAGACTTTGGAAAAAATCAGCTTTGTGCAGCTGGCAGAGAATTACACAAAGCTGGAAGCAGAGGCAGCTAACCAGATGAGATAAATATGGGAAATGGGGAAAAGCTTGGCAAAAATGGTTTCCCATACAGGAAAAAACCCCACAGTGCATTTCCAGTAGGCACTTGACACAAAGCTCCCCATCCCTCCCCCGCCCCAATGCTTCATCTTGGACCACACGGATATTTTGTACCAAGTCCAGTGTGTGTGAGGGGAGGAGGCTGGGGTTGGAGGCCGAAGAAGAAAAAGGAGGATAATCTGCACCTTTGTTTTTCTTCCCAAACATACACCCATGCATACCTACATAAAGAGTTTAAAGTGCTGGTGTCATTTGTTTTGACCCCACCACCACTTTGCATATTGTGGAAATCTACCTAGAGTAAACTGGCTGGGGCTTCTGTGGTTTTTCGTTTTCTTTTGTATTTTTCCTAAGGGATATTTTCAATTCAATTAAACACACGAATCGAGTGCCTACTATGTGCCCACCACTGTGTCAGGCACGTAGCATTTCAATTTAACTGTTCGTTTTGAGGTTTGTTTTTTTCTATGACTCCCTCATTCCCGCAGTCTTTAGCATCCAAGGAATGGATTTGAGGTACTATGCCACATTCCCAGCGGGAGATGACCCTCTCCCCTGGCCAATGGGAAGGCCATTCTTGGACATAACTGGTAGGATTTGCAGCTGACACGAAGCCTCTAACTTGGGACACCCTTCCTGAAGAGTAAAACAGGAGATGCCTGGCATTCTATCGCTTCACTGTCTGAATCTCAACTACCCTTGGTCCAAATTACTCCTTCACAGAGCAAGGGGAACGGTTCTGCTATGGCAGCCCCCAACACAGTGGGAGCTCCCGTTCTCACCAGCTTAAGTGAATGCCACTCACACAACAACGGGGATGTCTTTCTCTCTAGAGGCCTCTCCATCTGACCCCATCCTGAGAAGTGGTCTCCCTGAGTGCAGTGTAAGAGAGCCCTTTCCCCGGTCACGGGGGCCGGAAGCCCAAGGACGGAGGGATCCACGCCTGCTGCTCCTTGGGACTGCTATGTCATCTGACCTGGTTCTATTTCAAATGGGCCACCCATGTCAGCGAGCTTCAGAATCGACTCGCTCCAAGCTCCCCCTGCCAGGAAAGGAAGCAAGATGGGGCAATGCTTCTTGCAGAGGCTGTTCACCTTAGATCACACACGTTTAGATGGTCTGATCAGTAGAGGTTCTCTACCTCTGCTTAAATAATTTGAACTAGCAAAAATGGCTTCAAAGTAAACAATTAAATTGAAATGGTGATGGGTGCCACAGGAATGCTTCGATGGCGGCTAAAAAAATGAAAAGTCTGAAACAATCCACAAATCCTAAGTAGGCATTTGCTACAAATCAACTTTAAACTTACAAATACGTTGGGGACGGGGAGTGGAAGTGGTTTATGGAGACAGGAAAATCCACAACAGCTTAGAGTGGCAGATCTCTATTTATCTGCAACAAATATTTCAAAACAGGTTCTTCATCCGAAAGGCTGTGGAGGTCCTCATGACCCCCTAGTGGGACACACGGTCCATAGCTTAAACTGAATTATGACAGTAATTTAAATATTCCTAAGAAGAGCTGAAGAAATCCATTTCATACTTTCGCATGACTTCAAGTTTACAGTTCCTGCAGTTCCATTCCATATTAGCAGACCCCAAAGACATGCATTCTGCGGAGAAGGCACGGCTTGAAATGCTATTAAGGAAGATTGCTGTTTTCGAGTGGGCCAGGTGGCCAGACCCCATTCTACAGCCCATCCGTCAGGCACAGCAAGCCAATCCAGGAGGGAGGGAGGAAAAGGACGGGTGAGAGACACCTGATTGCACATTTTCTCACTTGCTGACTCATCCAGGAGATTTTGGAGCCTGGGGCAAAGCAGGGCTTTCCCAAGGGAGCCCACAACTGTGCGTTTAGACAATTTTTTTTTTTTAATTCATTAAAATGTCAGCTTTGTTCTGAAGTTTGTAGTTTGCTTCATGATACTATCTTGGAGGAAGAAGGTAGGAAGGGACAACACTGCATGACAGATGTTCTGGTTCCATAATAAAAAAATATTGGTTTATAAGGGGAGTTCACACAAAGCATAATCAACTACACATAAAGTCTTCCACCAGTGGGAGCTTTTCCAAATCATAAGCATCAAAGAGATCGCTGATGCCTTCTTCTTCCCCAAGGCTGAGCAGATAGTCTTCTTGGAGCAGGGGAGGCAGTAAGTTCACAAATGGTCCTTCTAGGTTGGAAGGAATTTGGTCCTCAGTCTGCTGTAAAAGGTTGGCTGGGGAGGCCAGAGGAGAAAGGTTTGCCATAGAAATCGAGCAATCACTATGTCCTGAGTTGGTTGAAGCCAAGTCTGAAGGGAGAAAATTGGTGGAAACAAAAACATAAATTGGGAAAAAATCAAATTAGTTATTCTGGAAGAATGGACATGTTGCTGTTATAAATTTGCCTACGTTCCACTAACGACAGTAAGATGACATTATGATATAGATCACCTCTTATGCTAAAGGGCACTAAAGAGTGACTGGTCCACTTTTCTTTGTTCTAGTCTACTTACTCTTTTCTTTCTTTTTTTTTTTTAACATGAGGAAGATTAGCCCTGAGCTACCATCCATGCCAATCTTCCTCTATTTTATATGTGGGTCGCTGCCACAGCATGGCTGATGAGTGGTGTGGGTCTGCTCCGGGGATCTGAACCTGTGAACCCAGGCTACCGAACTTAACCACTACACCACAGGCTGGCCCTACTCATCTTTTAAAATACCTACTGTTAGCAAACAAGAATACAAATTGCTTCAAAGATTAGAGGCTACAAGTTCAAAAACTTCTCTCTGATATCAATTAGTCATCGTTTAAAGAAAAACAAAGCAAAACAAAACATACACACTGAAAAGCTGGTTCCCTAGTAGAAAAGCACTAATTTTAGTCTCTTCTGAATGACCTTGTTAAAGACACCTCTAAAAATACAAATAATAAGACATACCCACTTCGAATTTCTATGGTGAAAAAAAAATGGGCTTTAGTTTTATCATTTGAGGTGCTGTATGCTTTTGCTTGGTGCTAAATAAGACCTATTCACTGAAATCACTTCTATTCTTGCTGCTATACTGGGAAACAGTAGGGGAAAAAAATTAAATACATACCCCCAATCTGCAACTAAAAAAAAACAAAAAAAAGGCCTGCAAAGAGCTTCCTCTGCTATAGGGACAGTGGCAGGAGGAGATTTATTTTCCTGGGGTTTTCTTCCCCTATCTTCACACGTTGAGGGGAAGAATTAAGATAAAACTTTTGTGACAAGAGCCTTTTCTCTCCAGACTTTTTTCATTTTCCTCTCTAATGATTTCTGCAGCATCATTCAAAGCTGTGTGGTCAAGTGCAGCTAATGATTCAACCAGACAGCTCACAGCTTTGCTCCTCACCTCAACCGGTTTTCCAAAACACTGTAAGGAAATCGTTTCTGCCAATAGCAAAGGCCGGAAGGGACTCCATTAGTGGGCGGAGGAGTCATTTGCCCAAGATCATTATTTTGTTCCGTAAACTAGTCAGAATGCCTTTTTAAAAAATGTTACCTTAATAACAATAATAACAGAAGCTTTTGTTTCTCGCCTAGACTTGCGGTTCTGATACAAGGTCCTTCTAGTCATCTTCATTTTTAACATAGTTTCCAAGTGACAAAAGTGGAATTTTTACCTTTGGAAGAGGGTTTAGGGATATTCCCATTGTGGTCTTGGTTGTTTGTTTTCATTGGACTGTGTGTTTCAGTCTCTTCTGGACACAAATAAACCTCAATGGGTCCTTGGGTACTTGCCAAATGGATTTGTAGGCTCTGCGAACAGAACAAGTGAGAGAAGTTCAGACTGAAAGTTCCTTTAGGAACGGAAGCTACAGTAGTCTCCAGCTAAAAATGGAAAGGAAGGATAATTTTCATTGTTCATTTTGCTTCTTCACTGGTAGGCCACCTCTATCAATGACTGTCATCCTCTAGAGCAGGAGGTCAGCAAACTACAGCCTAAGGGTCAAATCCAGTCCAAACTGGCTTTGTAAATAAAGTGTTATTGGCACCGAGTGACACCCATTCCCACTGCTAATGAATTGCCTCTGGTTATTTATTTTTTTTATGCTATAAGGGCAGAGTTGTATAGGCGAGTAGTCCTAACAGACCATATGGCTCACAAAGCCAAAAATATTTACTGTCTAGGCCCTTTAAAGAAAAAGTTTGCTGACCCCTGCCCTGGAAAAGGTGAATTGTGTTCTTTAAATATATTCCTTTTATGCAAACTATTAAAAAGTCCATGAAGTGTTCCTAATACAGAATTTCCATGTTATTATTCGTTTATGGTAGGGCTTTTTTTATGTCTAACTTTATTAACCATTGGATGAACAGTATTCTTAAGTGCTAGGAACTGAGTTTAATGAGAGAATGCAGCACACTAATATTTAAAATTCCTCTCATCTAGGTCATAGAGTTATTATGATCATTTAAGGTGAGAACTCTATCCCAGATGGGAGACTGCAAATTTCACTCTTATTTTATTTTCTACGCATTTTCTTTTTACTACGTTTCTTCACTGTATAGTCTAGGCCTATGTTGCCAAAGTGTATCTGAAACCAATCACGAAAATATGCTCTCCATTTTCTTACAATATTCTAGTCTATCAATTAACCCAAAGTCTCATTTGATTTCTTAAAAATAAACATATTATAAATAATACATTCTTAAAATGTGCTAAGATAGATTACAGAGATTAAAATATTTATATCTCTGTTCATGGGGGAAGACCAAAGCCACAGTAATCAACATAAAATTCCCCAGTGGTTCAAACCAACCAGAACAACCAGATAACAAATTATGAAAAAGAGTCCAAGAGGGACAGGGTACCATATACCACTTTGAGTTGAATGCCCAGCTATGTTAAAATTAGACTTTTTGGACATCCAATGCATATCGTACTCTTGAAATGTTTTTAGTTAGCGTTAAGTAAAATAGATGGAAAAGAACAATCAAGGTTTTAGGAGGATACAGACTTTAACCATGAGTTAATGATTCTTTAACCTCAGACATTCCAAAAAGATTTCTGCAGGTGAACAAAGATGTTATCTCCTTACCTCTATTGGGTCAGGCACTTCAAGTCTTGTTTCTGGAGGGGCTTTCACAACTATAACAGTTTGGTCTTTAAGGCCACTAATTTTTCGAATATCTTGATATGTAACATAAGCTAACGTAACGAGTGTTAAGGAAACCTTCCAACTGATTGCCTCAGATGTAACCACTATGAAGATGACAAAATAGAAGCACAGAAAAATTTTACAGTACTGTGTGACTTATAAGAATAAATCTCTCTCTTCTTCTAGATCTCTAAATATTTGGGATGTTCCATGAATCTTCCCTCTGGTTGATGTCCTAAGCAACAAGAGACATGTACAGCTCTTTCTTGCCCATTTCTAAAAAGTCCATGGCTATTTAAAATATTAAAATAAACATAGAAACAGAATAGTTAAAATAAACCATTAAAGAAAACCAAAACCCAATTTGGTCAGGGATTTTCAAACCAGGTTTCTCAGGAGCACAAGTATTCTATGAACTCCAGTGAAGCGTTCTATCACTCAAATTGAATGATGGCAGATCCCAATTTACAGAAAAAAATTAAAGCTCTGTTAATCATAATTTCTTGGAAACTCCAGTAACATGCTACTTGACTATTAGCAAGTGTCAGCAACTACCCAAATGAATGAATGAGCAGCAAATAGATATTATTAGTGAAAGAACTCAGAATACTTCTCAGGCAGACAGCTTGTTTTCTTAAGTGTGCTTGGGCTGGTTGTGATTATCTATTGCCTACTGATAAGAGTGTCATTATTTCTGTTAGAAAAGTTATCCTATGTATGACATTATTAACTATCAATATTTCAGTGTTCACAAAGAGGAAAGCACCTTCCAGATGCTCTGCAACCTGAATGAATTTGAGAAATGCTCATTTAGGAAAAGAGAGTAAAAGAATATTTCAGTACTCTTGGCAGTTATTTCTGAGCACTGAAGTATTCTTTTAAATGCGCTGGCAGCCCAACCTAAGAGGATATCATGAAAGAATATGGTACTTATTAAGTTATATTATATCTACTGTTATATGTATATATACATATATAAATGTTAACATAAATGTATATATGTTATATATACACACACTCTTATATGTAACAGTATTCATACAAGCTTGCCTAAAAGAGAATAGATCACATAGCTTTTTTATATAAGGGACATGGAGTAACGTAACTAATGTAAAATGTCTTTAGCCAGTTGCTTTTTTTATATCAACCCACAAAAAATGCCTAGGATAAAATGGCAAATCACAACTCAATGAAGGCATTTCTGCATAGCAGAGTCTGTGATTTAACGTATTTACCACAGCTTAGAGAGGCTAGAGGAAATGATGTCCCTTAGAATAGTAGCTTTTTATTAGAAATTGAAGGAAGCTATGAACCTACTCTTTGGGAAAAAGCACATTCACCCAAAATCTGCACATACATTTAGGGGCATCTATCAGATTATCTTCTTTATTCTTTAAGTCTCAATAGTTCAGACAATAGCTAATTCAGTGTGGAGCTTGACAGGACAGCTCATGCAGGATTCTGGGTTTCAAGTCACCATTTATGTCATCAAGGAAGCCAACTGGTGCCTTTATAGAAGATTTGACAGTTCTGAATTTTTACTGAGAACACTGGGGAAACTGATAACCAGGTACTTACCCCACAGCCTGCTGTCAAAAAGCTACGTGGCAAGAACTTATTAAAATAAAACTCATCTACAATTACTCAACATGCTGCAGGAAGGAAAATTTCAACACATTTGTGAACAAGCTGTACCAAATTCGCAACTGAATGGTGAATTGAAATAAACTGTGCAAACACATTCTTTAATCTTACAAACTCAAAAGTGCTTCCATTGTGGCTCCCCCTTGAACTTGCTTCTTGGGTTAGCAGCCCCCTGCAAGGAAGCTTTCTTTTCTGCAACAAAGGCCTCAGAGAAAGCTAATGTAGGTGACAATGCTGTAAGCTACACGTTCTGGAAAGCTGCCGGTCTTGTGTAACGACCACATTTCCTCCTCGATGGGGCTCCCAACTAAACAATGAATGAAACAGCCTGACCAGAGCTATTCTTGTTTCTTCCCTGTAAACCCACTCTGGCCATCAATGGGGGCTCAAATCATCACACCTCTTCTCCACCTCACTAATCATCAGCTGACAAGGTTAATCCTTTGGTCAACAGGAAATGAACAATCGTAGTTTCAAAACCTGCCTGATTCGAAAATAAATGTCCCCAAAACCTCCAAAGGAAAGCCCAGAGATGAGACACTAGAAGAAACTGGGCAGGACACATTTTATTTTCTGCTTTACAAAGGTAAATGTGGAATAATCAGAAGATTGGAACTAAAATTAGAGATAGGATGACTTAAAATATGGGTTTTGTCTTCTCCTAATAATTGAAAATATTGAAAAGTCTTCTTGTCAACATGTCTCCGCTTTTGTCTGAAGTGAGATGATGAACAGTAAGTTTTCCTGAGATGGTCAACAGACTGTCAGCCTGCTTAGAACAAGAATTGGCTGTTTATATTTTTATTTCTAAGGACTAATGTTTGTAGATGAATGGATAAATTAAGATTTCTTAGGCAGTAGGGTGCTTCTGAAATCAGTTTTTGTTGTTATGAATCAGCATAACGCACTTTGAAAGTTATAGAATTATTCTTCTATACTCTTTCAATTCCTTCAACTATAGCTCAGACAGATTCAACAAATTCCAATTGCTCCAATATCTGATGAAAAGAAAACAGAATGTGAGAACCCCAATAGTGACAGCTAACACCCACCAAAAATCTGGGAAGCCAAAGATGAATCTGCTGAATGTTGTCATTAATATTAATACTGACACATTACGTATCTTATAATAGTGTTGCCTTACGCTGGAGTGTATCCATATGTCCCAATTGCACATGAATAAATGCTTTAACAAACAGTTCCCACCTGGCTATGAAAGTAGATATGATAGGACCCAGTACGTGACTATCTTTCCATAAATACTGACTTCTAAGAAAAAGATAAGTGGTTTAGACACACACACACACACACACATACTTGCATGAAACCAGAGTAAAATTCTCCCTTGTGCCTAAAAGTCAGATTGTTAACACTGGAAATAGTCTAGAAGGCACTAACCCCCAGTGAACAGGTGGCACAAAGGATATCTTTGATTCTCTGAATCCTCGGTTAACAGTTTGAGGTCCAGGGTGCAGCTTTGGATCAGTTCATCTAATTTCTTCTCCTCCTGACTGAGCTCGGTCACTTCCTTTGACAGGCCTTGACACTGGGCCAGCATGCCCCCATCCTCAGACAGACTGCAGCCCCTAGAAACCCAAACACAGACTCTTTATGGCTCCTTGACAGGCCAAAGCGGGGAAGGTGAAAGAGAGGGCAGGGAGAAACGGTCCTTTGGGTAAGTGTCCCCTCTTGATAGAGGAGGTCACACTGCTTGTTAGCCAAGTGTTAAAATTAGAACGTTTATACATAGTTTTTCATAGTACAGCCCTTCAGTTTTCACACCAGAGAAATTAAGTGAAAAAACACTGCTATTTTCAGGTTTCTTTCCTCCAGAGGAAGGCTGGAATTCAAAGGGCACAAGGAGGCAGTTCCGCCCCGCCACATGCCGCCCAGGGGGGAAAAGAAAGAAAGAAAGGGGGGAAGAAAGGATGGAAAGACATAGAAAAATAGAAAAATTTGCAAGAAAAGATAGAATGGTTCAAAATTCAACAAAACGTCATCCAAAAAGCACAAAAGACCTAGATAATTTCTGAGGGTCTTATACCAACAACTAAAAAGGGAAAGGAAGTTGAGGAAACAGATAGATGTGCTGGATGCAAGAACAAAGACCAGTACTCAACAGGTTTCTCTAAACCACAGGCCAAAATGGGTCACTGAATTATCACAAAATTCCAAAAAACTACAAAAAAGTTACCTGTTCATCTTATCATGTTTGAAGAAGTATTTTTTCAAAGCCACCCCATGACATTTATTCCTTCCAATAATGCTTAAATAGTTCCTTCTAAAATACTGGCTGTTCCGGTACTCTGTCTGTAATTCGCAAATGACGTTATCATACATTTAATTGTACATGTGGGTGGATAGGTGACAAGTGTTACCATCCCCACTTTCTAGAAGGAACAGAGGCATTTAAGTCTTGCCTTGATTAACACAGAAAGCTAATTTGCTATGAGAACCATGGGCAAAGACACTTGGCGATTGTACATATACACAGATGTGTTACTAGACAGCCATAGTTAATTTCTAAATTCCTATTAGAGACAAGCCAAAGACACGTGTAAGCGTGTATTAGATTACACACATGCGTACACACATGGACATCACAGAACAGATGAACAGCATTCTACTTTACATCTGTAGGGCCCTATTTAATCCCAGGATCCCCTTGCTTGAGGCTCATTGAATATAAACCCTTTCATCTCTGACAGTATCTAAACAGAAGCCCTCTTTGTAAACAGACTTTAAACCTTCGGCTAAAGAGTTGAGGAGGGAAGAGAGAAGGAAGGAGAAGAGAAGAGTGGGAGAGAGAAAATGAAGTGCGGGCATGAATGTGAAAGTTGGGACTGGGAGAAACCCCGATGCAGCCTGAAGGGACCCATCAGAGCCAGGGAATGGGGGTGGCGGGGTGAGGGGGGGTGGCGACTTATACTCACATCCACTGCACGTTGTTTTTAGACTTCTTCTTAATGAGGTGGATGCCTTCCAGTACATTGGTGATGTCATAAATCCTTCTCTTCTGCACTTTCAGCACCTCTGCTGCCTTGTTCAAATCCAAGACCCCATCAGGTGACTGGCTCAGTAGCTGAATGAACTTCTTGGTGAGCAGACCAAGTGATGTATCATACCGTGTTTTTTCTGAGGGAGATTTTGGAGCTTAAAGAAAAACAAAAACCGAACGGGTGGGGGATAGGGGGAAAGGTAAAGAAATGAAGGGTTTCTTTGCAGTTAAGCAAGCCCTCTTTCCCACTGCAGCCCAGGTATTAGTATCAGAAGCAAAGCTGCTGTTACTGTTGTTTCTGGTTAAGTGATAGAAAGCTACGAAACCGATTTATCAGAAAAGGAAGGGACAGGAAAAATTCCTGTTTGACGAAAGCATTTTACTGTGAATTTCTCAGTAGTTTCTACTTTGGCTTACCCTACTCCCTGGGTCTAGTGAAGTATCTCACTCATAGTTGGTGCTCAAAAATATCTGTTGAATGAATGAAAAAGTGCTGTAGCCTCGTGGGATCAGCACCCGTGGAGCCTAACCTGATGGGGCCAGACTACAAATCTCTCCAGCATTTCATGACAGGGGCTCAGATGGACTCAAATGGCCCTTTAGACTCCAGTGTCTGTGTGTGTATATAACTCGTTCACTGAGTTTTCAAATAATGCTTCATTTGGATAAAGAATACCTAGAAAGTCCTTCAATCAAATCTCCCCATCCCTCTTGAACGAAACGGCCTTATTTAACATTGCATTTATTCTCTTAAAGTTGCGTAGGTCAAGGGTTTAATTGAGCATTACACATAATTTGTGGATTGCCTAATTTGTAAACTACAGAAAAGGAGAGAACAAAGTCTAATTTAGCCTTTACATTAAATGCCAAAGACATAAAGGACTATTTAGCTATTTCCAACCTATTTTTCTCTCTCTCCCAAAAGAAACAATGATTGTATTCTATGGAAAGGGAAATTGCAATCAAGCTGCAATTGATTGGTCTCAATCAGTTCTCACGCTGCCATATGCTGAGCTGGAGGCTGAGGCTGGCGCAGACATCACCGACTCTGGCACAGCTCATCTACGCCCAGTTAGCCTTAATCTCTGAAGTAATGTCCATTAAGGAAAGTTAACGTTAAATTTATTCTAGAACGGTGCTGAAGAGCTTGCATTCTGAGTTGAAACATGAAACTGCACCCATTTAAAGAGGCCTCCCTTTAAGTCAGTGTTCAGTGCTGGAATGACTCTGGAAACCTTTCACTGGGTGTCTGCAGACACTGTGTGTATCTTTTGGCTAGGCACAGAAAGAAATGAAAAAGAACAAAACAAGCCAAAATTATTCACACCTTGGCATCCTTTCAGCCACAAGCTTTGAAAGTTGGGAAGCCCACACCAAAGAGAGTCAGAGAAGAAAGAATCCTTACTTTTTGGACTATCTGGACTTCGTAGTGCAGCTCTTCCTTTGCCCTTGGGGGTTTTTAAACCATCTGAGAGGTACTGATGACCGCTTTCTCCTAGCTCCAGCCTTCGCTTTGCCTGTAGTAAGAAAGCACAGTCGTTTGTCAGAGGTCTTATGGACAATCACAAGGGGGAAGGCTGTTTGTGATTGGGCCCCTGCCAGCTCTCACCACCCCTGCCCCGCCTCACTCAGGATCTTGTCATTCCCTACAGCCAGGGTTCTGGCTCTGGGGCCTGGGCTGTCACGCAAACTCTCTCTTCACCTGCAATCATTATCTGCCTACACTCAGATGAGCAAATCCAACAATTCTTAGGATTAGTTTCAGGAGTCACTTTGTTCATTTATTCGTTGGTTCAACATATGTGCCAGGCATGGGCCTAGATACTAAGAATCCAGTAGACATCATGGAACTTAAACCCACTTTTCCCCAGCAAAGCTTTGCTGCCTATCTCCATCTCTGAACTGGGTCGGACTGCCTGCCTCGTGCTCCCTAAACACTCTGTGTTTATGTGCATGCTAACACTTATTGGATAGAAGAGTTATTTTACTTATCTGTTCCTCATTTCCTTTAAGGCAGGGACTGTGTCCCATTTATCTTTGTATACCTAGGGCTTGGCGCAAAGCCTGGGTGTCTGTAGGTGTTCAATCACCCTCTCTCCGTATATATTCAATGAAGGAAAGAGTGATTGAACAGTAATGCAACTAGTCACAGACTACAAATGGTCATTCATCAGAATAACAAATATTGCAAACATTCAATCTTGGGCTTCAACTAGTATTACTTTCTCCATTTTGCCGTTAGACCTGGCAAATGAGAAGTCTTCATCTAAGTTTTTGATTTAATTTAATTTCACTTTACAAGTATCCCCTTAGTGTCTTCTGTGTACCAGGCACTGGACTTAGGGAACAGAGGTAAGCGAGCTGGATAAGAGTCCCTGCCTTCCTAGTGCTTACAGTCCAAGAGAGAAGACAGACAATTAAATAAGTAATTGCTGAGGACCCGCTGTGTGGGTGTGACAGGTGTTCAGACAGAAGGGGCACCGACTAGACACCCACATGGCACTGTGTATTTAGGCTCATTTTAGGGTAGATTATTCTGAGGAGATTCACAATTTCAGAATAACTCCCCACAATATAGAAACAGAATTAATAACTTATCAACTGATGATAGATATCCAGCTTCTCTATGGAAAGTTATCAGCTAAACTTCTGCTCCCTAGAGTGGCCACTAGCCACATGTGACTCATCCAAATTGACATGTGCCAGAAGCATAAAATATACACTGGATTTCAGGAACTTGGCACAAAAAAGGGTAAAATGCCTTATTAATAATTTTTATATAGATTATATTAAAATAATATTTTGGCCTTATAAAATAATATTAAATAAGCTAGTCTTAAAATTATTATTTCACCTGTTTCCTTTTACATATATATTTTTTACCATGTGGCTTGTATTTGTGCCACACATTATCTTTCTATCGGGCAGCGTGGAGCTAAACCTCACTCTAAAGGCCGGGGAGTGACAATTAGCAAATTTATCTTCTTAACTTGATTTTCCCCTCTCCGATATTCTGTCAAATCCTTGTGTGGGCCTGTTGTTTTGGTTGGCCCAGCAAATATTGCCTCTTCACCGGGCAAAAGCTCCCTGACTGCTCGTTGGGGAGCACCCCTTCCCTCTCACAGCCTAAGTGCATTTGTGCACACAGGTGACCCAGGCCTGGCTGCTGATCACTGTGTTCCATCCTCCCCCTCCTCCACAGTGACTGTCGGGGTGTCACATGACCAAAGCTGGGTGAACAAAGGCCAACTCCAGGAATTTTTCTGGAACTCATGGCAAGAAGAGGCTGTGCCTTCCCAGGAAGGTTGATAAGCTGGTAGCTGGAAGCCACCTGAGAATGGAGCCTCCACAGGGGAAAGCAGAGTGGAGAAATGGAGAGAAAGGGGTCTGAGGCCATCCATCAAAACTCTGGATCAGGTCATACACTGAGAGCAACAGTTGGTCTTCCCCAGACTTTTCAGTTACATTAGCCAATAAAATCTCCTTTTTGTGCTTAAAGCTTAAAGCACTTTGAGTTGGGAACCTGAAAGTCTGGTGTTGCAAGTGTCAGCCTGTGGAATTGGCTGAGTCAAGATGGGCTGTGGTGCAATGGGGAGCTGGCAAGGCTTGTTAAAGAGTGACAGAGTGTGTTGGCCACTTCTTGTGGTCTTCAGGAAATTATTACTGATAGAGACCAGCTTTATCTAAGGCTTACCTAAAAGCAGAGAAGAAGAAAACAGCTTAGTAGCTTAGTTATGGAGGCTTTTTTCTCTCGGTAGAAAGCAATCCAAGAAGATATAAAGCTGTATTCTCTGCCCATGCTAAAGTCCACAGAAGGAAGGCAAAATGGGGAAAGGGTTTGGGACCCAGAACTCTTGGGCCCCTAAGGCTGTATTCTCCTTGAACCCTCACAATAAAGAACCATCCACTGGCCGGCTGCCTGGGCATATTAGTTTTGCCTCCCAATCCCAGGCTATTATTTCAAATTGCTTTGAGGCAAAGGCCTATAGAAGCAGAAAGCTGTAGGCTGGGGAAACTCCAGAGGTGTGTTGCTAAGAAACTGGGATCTAACTTCAAGGACCAGGACTAGTCAGGATATGTGACTGGTTACCAAGCACTAAACCACAGAGCTGACCAAATCTAAATACTATGTAGAAAATCTACTGAATTTTAAAGGCACTTCTGTCAGAGAATCCCTAAGTCCAGAAAGCAAAGGCCTATGATATCTCAGTCTCTAAGGGAATCAATCGCTATGCTTATAAATTTATACCAAAAAGAAATGAGCTGTGAAAGAAGGGCAGCCCCAGAAAATCCTCCCAGAGGGTAGATAGTGGGGAGGCCATATTGGCTCCATCAGGTCTCCAAGTGCCTGCTATTCCTGTTGAGAAGGACATGACGTGCCACGAGAGGTGACCACTGTGTGCCGTTTCCCCTTTTCCAGATAGATGTTTCTGCTGGGTTATCTTGTGATCTTTCCTCCACTGTTTAGTGAACGGAGGCTGAACTAGACTTGAGAAGACCACACAGCACCTGCAGGTCCTAGATCTGAGGATGGGCACGATAACTGGACTGTCTTTTGGGGAAGGGCTAAAAACTTTGATTATGATAGAGCAGCATCACTTTACTGGTTACCGTAGCGAATTCAAGCACACATGCTTGGTAAACAAACAAAAAGCCAGATGGGAAGATTTAAACAGTGCAGGTAGTCTCTGCCTACAGCCCTTTGCCCTGGGCTGAGCACAAACGCAGAAGAAAATCTCCTCTCTTGGTCATCTCAATTTTTGTTTGCTCTTAGTGTGAATGTCTTGCTGAACTGAGAGTTATTCTGTTTATAAGCAGATCTTCATATTACATGGCCCCCACCAGTGAAGTAACTAATCTATCTGGTGCTCAGCAGAAGGCCCGGCCATGTGGTCCTAAGCAGGAGTAAAGCCTGGACATGAGACATGCTATGAAGATCACCTACGAGGCGTCTTCCTGAGGTATTATCAAGGGTAGTTTTACTAGAAACGAAGTATGTGCTAACTTAGATCCTCAGCCCCAGCTAAGACGCCATGCCTCTGTAATGAAGCACTCTTACGCATGTCTGAAAACGTATATACGAAAAGAACAGGAATAACTGTCAGGCAGCCAAGCAGTGGGCTGTGGGGAACATCTATCGTTTCTGCCTGCCTGGCATTTGTCATCCCTATTTTTTCCTTTGCAGCAGGAACTTCCCCGCAGTTCTTAGTTCAGGTGGTTTCTTTGTCCAATCCTGAAAACAAAAGGCATGACATTGCTCAACATCTTAGGCTGACCCTTCCCATCAAGGTGACAGAGGTGAGTTCCGTAATCTGGGTCCACCAATCAGTGTATTCCAGTCCCTGGCTAACGTGACTGGTTTAGGGATGGGCTCATGCCCAAAGCAGGATGAATCAGTCAAGGCTGGGATTTTTGTTAGAAGCTACTGGGAAAGTACTGGGTTCTTTTCACCGGGAATTATGAACCTGGAGCTACCTGGGAACTGAGCCAACATAGAAGAAAGTAGAGTCAAGAGCTGGAGGGAGACTGTCCTGATGCCTTCAAGCAAGGTGCCAGATATGGCCATGCCCAAAGGCAGATCTACCCAAGACTTTCATTTGTGTGAGCCAACAGATTCCCTTTTTGGGTAGAAGACAAGTGAATTAGATTACTCCCACTTGCTACCACCTGAGTCCTGACAGGTATGGCCTTTTAGTCTTAACTATAACAGAATTAACATTTGAGTGCTTACAATATATCCTGGACCGTGTTAATTGCTTTCCACTCGATTACGATATCTCATTTTCACAACAACCCCATAAGGTAGTTGTTATTATTATTTCCTATTTTACAGGAGAAAATGGAGGTTTTCAGCACTTAAATAACTTTTCCAAAATCCCACAGTCAATAAATACGCCTACACTGAAGTCCATGCTTATAACCACTCCATAAAATGATTGCGAAAAATTGCCATATAAAAATACTTGAAAAGTTACATTATATTGATACCATCTTATTTTATGATAAACTTAAACAGTTTTATTTTATTCAGAAAATTTTTAAAAACTTTTCCTTTACATAATAAATGCATATGGTAATTCAAACACCACAAAGGAGTATACATGGAAAGCAAATCTTTCTCCCACGCCTGATCCCCAGTTCCCTTCCTCAAAGGCAGCACCATGAAGTTACTTCAACATCCTTTTAGACAGTCTATGTAAATGCAAGCACATATATAGATATACACCACACCTTATAAAAAATCTTCACATAAATGGTAGCAAAGCACATACTACTCTATTAATAATACATCTCGGAGTTTGATCCCTATCAGTACACACAGAATGATCTTATTTTTCATAGCTGCAGAATACTGTATTAATTAATATACCATGACTTGTTTACCAAATCAGACACCTACGAATGGACATTCAACACTCCTCTACTGTAACCATTTTTCCCAATAAAGAGTCATGATAGCCTTGGGGGGTGGGATGACTAGACCCAGCTTGCACTGAGGCAGAGAAGTTAAGGATTACCTAAAGTCTCAGCTAATAAGTCACAGAACCCAGGTCTGTTCAAAGAGTTTGTCAGTGACCATGACTTCCCTGGACTGACGGAGATATCCCTCTTCTGCTGTCACAGCAACTTCTGGGCTGCCAGTGCAGCATGATTTTACCATCATAACACATATACACTCCAGGTTTCCTTGCTGGACCATGAACTCAGGTCTTAAGCAGCTCAGTTTCCCCACAGCCTTGCATATGGCACGCACTCGGTCAAATTTACTTATTTATTTTCAACGAACCAAGGAATAAATCCCCAAAGTCTCTTGATAGGTAAATCACAAAGTTCCAACATTATCAGCCTTTAAAGGGGATGTTTAAAGATATATATGTGTGTATATATATAAGTGTCTGTGTACACATAAGTTTGTACTTGTATATGTATATGCTGGAGATTAATCTCTACATATTTGGAAATATTTTAAAAAAATATAAAGGGGAAAAATTAAAGTTGCAGAAAGATTTGTATAATATGATCTCATAGGGGCAAAAAATTGTAGGCCTCACTATAAAATTTTCCATGTATCCATGGAGGAAAAAAGTCTGGAAAGATCCACATCAAATGTTAGTGGAGGTTATCTCTGAGAAGTAAAATTAAATGTGGGGTAATGACTTCATGTTTATAGTTCTGTAATATTTGATTGGATTTTACAAAGTCATGTGTCTATATACACATTAATTTATATCTTTCAAACTAGCAATTCCACTTCTTAGAGTATATTCTGAGAACCACGGTGTTCCTAGGGTTTATCTATTAAAAACAGCACAGCCAGTTTCTTGAATTTTTATATTTTCCCACATATGTCCAACATAAATGCCTAATCTCAGAAGAAAAATTCAGTAAGTTATTGTACATTTATAGAATGGGGTGTTATGCAATTAATAATGATGTACAATACGTAAGTTAAGAAAACAAGCAAGTATAAATAGTAAAATTGTACTTTTGTGAGGAAACTATATGCATAGAAAGAAAGTATCTAAGGATATATACCAAATAAAGTTTAAGAGTATTAACCTTTGGTGGTAGGATTATGGTGATCTTATTTTCTTCTCCTTAGCCTTTTCTATTTCTAAATCATTTTGAAATGAGCATGTTTTTCTTGCATAAAAGGAAAAACAAAAGTCATTTCCATTTGGGGTTAAACAAATGAAGTCTGGTGGTTTACACCCATTCAGTGTGTTTGATTTGAACTTACGGGGATGGGTTCAAAACAGAAATGAGATCTGCTACCAGCACGGGCATCCCAGCTTCACGGTGGGAAGGGAAGTGGTGTTCTCATCTACCATCCAACTGAACCACAGGAAAAAACTGAATCAAGAAAAAGGCATGGCCTGCTGTAGGTTAGCAAACTGTGAACACTAAAATAAACTCCTTTACTCCAGTTAATGCGAGATCTGGGTGATGGAAAGAACAAGATACACGATACATTTTGTCTCAAAGCCAAAGAAGAGACAGGACATTTTGAACAGAGGAAGAAGGGAAATAGAAGAAAATGGAAGTTAAATTAAAAGAATGAGGACCAGATTAAGCACATTAATGAAATAACCCAAAGGAGGGAACCTCCAGCTTGAGACCACACTGCAGCTGAACCTCACTTGGATTCTGGCCGTTAGGTCAGTGGGTTAGGGCACGAGGATTTTAAGAACAGAATACCTAGTTTCCAGTTGTGCCTATATATTAACTGAATCTGGTTAACCACTTTAAAATCCATTCAAACATTTATTAAGTGCCTGCTGTGTACCAGGACCTGCAGATGATTATAACAGTGATACAGTGGGCCCCGCTATAAAAGAAGGTACAGGCCCACAAATAACAGAAAATGCATGATAAATACTGCAACGCGTCCATGGCTGGGGGCAGGAGGGCAGGAAGGAGGGCTGGATGGAGAGGTGGGTGGAAATCTGGACAGACTGGTTAGAAGTGGTGGAATGAACCAAGTCCTGGAAGGCAAATGGGGTCTGCCCTGCAGAGAAGAGAGTGGGAGTCGGGGAACTTGAGTGAGCTGTCCAGGCACAGGCAGAAGCACAGAGACTTGGAAGGGCGTTGGTTTGGAAGTGCTGGTGGGTAGCAAAGGGCTTTGGGTGCAGGGGATGAAGGGGCCAGATCACAGTCCCTTACATGCCAGGCTAATAACCACACTCCCACGTCAACCTCATTGACATGAGGTTACCTAAGACGAAGAGCTCTAAGATCTTCTCTGGCTTTTTTCAGCCAGAGGTCAGTTCAGAAACTAACAAGGGCAGTGTCTCTAGGAGCTATGAGGTGAGAAACCTAATCAGAAACCAAATTATCTCAGAGAACTGGTGAGCTGAACAGGCATGCAGGAAGCCCTGACGGAGGCGTGTGGCAACAGGAGTAGTATGTGTACATCTTATCTTGGTGAGATTTCCCCTTAAATCCCACCTCCCCGCCACCAGCAGGTGGTGAGCAGAACATCTCCCTCTTCTCTCTCAGATGTGTCCCTCTCCAAGCCCGCCTCACGCTCCAGCTAGATTCCCCCATCATTTCTCATCGGATTACTAGAATGGACTCCAAACTTGGCCATTTTTTCTTCTTTTGATTTTTAATCTACAGTCCTAGGGTATTTTAACTTCACTGTAACTTGTATTTGTGGACCAGTTTGGGCATCTAACCACATGCATATAAATATATAAATGTTTCCAAAGGAAAAGGAATCTCAAACTGACTCAGAACTTTTGGAATAGAAGCCATTTACTTATGAACTGGTGAGACTGCCTTCCTTTCTACAAACATTTATTTTGTTTTTAAGAACAATTTAAGACAATTTAAAAATAAATAGATGCACATGGTTTTTAAAAATCCACTAGCTCAGAGAACTTATAGCCACCTCCGCAGGGGAACCAATTTTACTATTTCTCCTGGCAATCACCTCTGCATCTCTAAGTAAAATAAGCGTACACAGCTATTTGTTGGTTTAGCCATTCTAGTTATTATGTAGACTTCCTTCAGTGATACCACACCCACCCTTCTTCCTCCTTTTCTCCCAATAGTTATATCATTACTTTTGTTTAAAAACCGGTGCTATGCATTTTGACTATATAAATATTCTTCCCGCAGAGTCAAATAGTATACTGAGATTGCATCTCCTTTCTTGTGAAGCTCATCTGTTTCCTTTGGAATTTCCAGTTGTCTTTCCTGATCGCTGGCACCATTTGCCTTCACCACATCCTAAACTTTTGCCAACTCTCCATCATATCAGATATTCTACCAAGTCCCCACTTTTTTTCCTTCCTGAAGCTCTTGGACCTCCTGCTATCTAGGCCCTAGACCGACTGTTCTCCAGGCCTGTTGTACGGCTGCCACTCTGCAATTTTCCCTCACTGCATCCCGTGTTGAAGCCTGAGGTGGACATTTGTCATTTTATTTGACTGCCCAGTCTCTGAACTCCCCCTACTATGGTTAGGAACTTCCCCACTTTGTCAGTCTTGGTGGGAGGGACAGCCACCTTCCTACCATAAAATCTGGACCCCCAGTGCTCTTTCCCAGCTTCCCTGGAACCTAGACTAGAGCTGTTACCTAGACTGGGACGGGCAGACACACTCACCCTGGATTTGGCATCTGGAGCTTCTCCTGCAAAGAAGCAGACCAGTGGTGACAGCCATGGGAGCCTGGAAGAAGTGACTACTATTGTTGGACTTGTTCTGTGGTTTGATGTCTTAGCTGTGGTTCTGGCTATTGATCCTTCCTTGTTCTTGCCTGTTCTCCAAGCCTGGTTCTCTAAGCTTCCTGACAATTCAGTGGGTTATCTAACACCCTTTCAATAAATTCCTTTTCTGCTTAAGTTGGCCAGAGTTGGTTTCTGTTGCTTGCAACACAGTCAGTTTCCTGTTTTCCATTGTCAATCAGTTGTTTCCCTGGAACACAGCCGAACGGTAGTATAGAAGAGAAAACTTGAGTCTTATTTATCTGAATGTGTATTTCACCCTCACACTTGATAGTTCGACTAAGTAAAGAATTAAAGGCAGAAGATCACTTGCCCTCAAACTCTGAAGGCACTGCTCCACTGGGTTTTATTCTGTGTTGATGGTGAGAAACCTGTTGCCACTGATTCTCATTCCTTTGAAGCTATTGGATTTTGAACCCTTCTGAAAGCTTCCAGGCCTGTCTTAACATTTATTGTAAAATTTCGTAACATGTATTCAGGTGTGCATCTTTTCTAACTCACTGTGGGAGGAACTCATGTGCTCCTAGAAACTACACGATTGGCCTCCAGCTATGAGAAATATGTGTATTGTAAGTCATTCCCTCTATTGTCTCTGTCTAATCTTTCTGGAATTCCTATTCCTCTTGGATTGACCCTTTAAAGCTCTTATTTTCCATCTCTTTGTTTTTTCTTTTTCGTTCTACTTCCTTGTCCTTACATCAAATTTAGCTTCCACTTCACTAAATTTTCTCTTTTCAATTTGGGCAACTAGATTTTTAATTCCCAAGAATGTTTGTTTTACTCCCTGATCAATCTATTTTTATAGCATCTTATTCTCATTTTATGAATAGGATAGCCTGACACCACTAATTATTTCTCTTAAAGTTTTCTTTTGCTTCTTGTTTAACCTGTTTTCTCCATAGTCATCTTTTCCTACCTTTTCTAAAAAAAAAAAAAAAAAATCCTGGTGTCACTTTATAATGTTGTAGTCTTTTCCCAAATGTCTAGTCAAGCTTTTTCGTATTTAAGAATAAAGCAACACAATGACAACTGGGAGCTGTACGATTCAAGTTGAGGTGCTATCCTTAAATCTCAGAATGGGGCCGATCCATTTATTTTGAGAAGATTTCTCAAAAACTATTTGTCTGGGGAAAAGACTCATGGATTCTGGACATTTATTCTGCATAAACACCTTCATGTGAATCCCTTTACACCCTTGGTTTTCGTCATACTTGAGCTTCAGCGGTTCTTCCCCTAGGGCAGACCCGTGCGTGCTCTCTTTGGCCACAGCTTCCTCTGCTCTACTTTACTGGCCGCCACTCCTCCACCCATTCTCCGTATCCAGAAATCTGTTGAATTATCTTGTCCACTACAGGCCCTACTCTCATTTTCAGTGATTTAAAATAACAGTTTCTTTTGCACGGAATAAAGGCTGAAGCCCTAATATTTTTCCTACCTAAGTATCTCAATAATTGAATGTTGATCTTAAAAAGCAAAAATCTCTGAAAATCTGTTACAGATTAATTCTGTATCTAGCTATATCTATATCAAATTAAGAGTAAATGAATAAGAAGCTTAAGAGAAGGACTTCATTAATAAATTAAATAGATCTAATGTTACTCAGATGAAATAAGAGAATATGAGTAATATTTTTAATAAGAGAAATGCTATGATGACTCACAGATCATAGTGGGCTCTAAATTAGAGCAGGCAAAAGGTTCTTATCCCCCATACAATATTTAAGTGTTATTATTTCCTTTGAGGTTTAAATTTTATGTTTTTACAGAAAAAAAAAGCAGGGAAAACTGTGCATTAAACCACCGACTTAAAAGGGATTTTAAATTTACTCATATTACCAAATTCATAATGTGCTTTTCTTTAACTTAAATTATTGCTAACCTTAAATATGTAGTTATTGCCCATAAAATGGAATTTAGGAATTCTTCTCTTCAGACATCTGAATTTCCAATTTGGAGGCTGGCAAAACTACTTAAAACATATTCACTGATGGGCAGTTAGGGTGCAGGCTCTAATATTACTGCTCAGATGTCTCCCTGCAATAATGGACTTGAACCTTTCATCAGAGTACTATTTAGTTTATCTCTACTTCCCTTTCCGATTCTTAGTTTTTGGTCTTAAGATTTGACCTCATTTCAACACCAATGGAATAAACCACGAGTTGACAAACATTTTCTGTAAAAGGCCAGGCTGTAAATATTTTACACCTTGTGGGACATAGCTCTGTTGTAGCTACTCAACTCTGTTATTGGAGCAAGAAAGAAGCTAGAATACATAAATGAATGGGCTTCACTGTATTCCAATAAAACTTTATTTACAAAATGGGCCCTGGACTAGATTTGGCCAGCAGGCCTGAGTTTGTAGATTCATGGGATAAACCATTATCCTCCTACAATTTACTAATGTTTTTATTAAAGGATATCTATATTGCTCATACCAAACACTAACATTTTATGAAGAGAGAAAGCCAATCATATTTTTGGATAATGGAATTACATCTCTGTCACACTTTGGTTAAATGTAAGGACTAAAAACAAATACCAAAAATAAAAGCAAATTTGAGCTATCCATTTGAATAGTTGGACCTCATCTCATCCACAGAAAATAATAATAATTGAACACACAAAGATATTCCTTTTTATGTCCTCAACCATACGTAGCTAAAAAGATAGTTTATAAGTGCAATGAAGAGCCATAAACAAATTCTTACCATGGGTTCAACAGATCAATTTTATGAGTAATTCAATTGCTTCATTACCAGTACCAAAAAAGTTTTTGTCAGCAAACTTTCTCCCATTGAATTACTGTCGACACATCACGGTAACTGTTCTGAATCTAAACCAGTGAGTTCACAGAAGCTTACTTCAGAACACAGTTGCTATAATGGCTTGCAGGGTAGTGCTAGCACCTTAAATCTTAGAAAAAGAGCACGTGTTTAATTATCACCCTGGCTCTAAAGGACAGGGCACTTGGCCCTGGTGGACATAGTTTCACAGACTATCTCCTGGTACAGGAGCACAATAAATGGACTCCAAGAAGTAGAACACTTTTGGAAGATTTGTGAACCTAAACTAATTGAAGAACTTCCTCTTAAGATAGCATAATGTTACTTTTAAGAAACACAAAGTACTGAAAACTGACATCTGCTGGTCTTATATCATGTTAGGAATATCCATTATTTGTACAATTGATATGAAGGCCAAAAATTGCTGCTTTTCCAATCACTCAACTTTCATTTAGGGGAAACTCAGTTCCTGTATTTGGAGGTTGGGAGTTTCCAGGCAGTAGTACGGTAAGGAAGAACCCAGGGGGAGGCAGACAAACTCCCCACGTTGAGAAGATGGAGCTAAGCATCTGGGGAGATCAAAGTAGCTAGAATTTGGGCAGACTACCGGAAAGGAGAAAACTGTTTAGAGAGAAACTCTTGGAAATCTGCAAAAGGTCCCTGTTGAGGATTCAGCAGAGTACTGATCGGTGTGTGCATGTGAGGAAACTACCCAAGGCCAGGAGAAAGAAACACCTGAAAGGAATAGCAAGCAGTACCTAGTGCTCCCACAAGGCCTGAAATGGTAGGCACGTTGTTCTGACAATCGTTTCTATCAGCCAGACTGAAAAAAACTCATGATTCATGAGGCAAGGCTGGAGGACTCAGAAGGGTGTCACCTCATTGGTGAGGCAAAATTAGCCCGAGAACAAATACAGCTCTGGTCCCACCTAACAAAGCAAGACCTGAAAGATCAGACTGTTTCTAAGAAACTTCACTGCATCTCAGAACAAAAGTCAAGAACATTTACAGAAATACAAAAATGCCTGGCGCCCAACAATGACTATCGTCCAACCAAAGATTACTAGGCTTCCAAGGAAGCATGAAAATATGACCCATATTCCGGAGAAAAATCAATTAATCGAAACTGACCTAGAACCAACACAATGGTAAGAATTAGTAGATAAGGACACAGAAAAAAGCTAATGCAACTGTATTCCGTATGTTCAAAAAGTTAAGCAGAGACATAGATGATATAAACCTACAGATTCAAGAAGCTCAACGAATCCCAAACACAAGGAATATAAAGAAAACAATACCAAGGCCCAACACAATCAAATGGTTCAAAGTCAGTGACAAAGACAGAAAATCTTAAAAGCAGCTGGCGGGGGCGGGGGGAGGGGGAGATATGTTACAAACAGAGAAATAAAAATGACAGCAAATTTCTTACTTGTAACAATGTAGCCAGAAGATAGTGGGGCTACATTTTGAAAAGTATTGAAATAAACTGTCAAACTAGAATTCCATACCCAGCAAAAATATCTTTAAAAATCCAAAGGCAAAATAGACTTTTTCAGAGATACAAACACTAAAAGAATTCTTCACCAGCAGACCCGCACTGGAAGAAATACCAAAGGAAATCCTTTAAGCAGAAGGAAATGATGTCAGATGGAAATATGGATCTACACAAGCAATTAAGAGTATCAGAAATGGTAATCAGATGGGTAAATACGTGAGGTTTTCTCCCTCTTATATTTAAACCTCTTTAAAAGGTAATTGAGGGGCTGGCCTGGCGATGTAGTGGTTAAGTTTGTATGCTCCACTTTGGTGGCCCAGGGTTGGCAGGCTCAGATCCCAGGTGTGGACCTGTACGCCGCTCATCAAGCCATGCTGTGGTGGTGTCCCACATACAAAATAGAGAAAGACTGGCATAGATGTTAGCTCAGGGCCAATCTTCCTCAAGCAAAAAGAGGAAGATTGTCAACAGATGTTAGTTCAGGGCCAATCTTCCTCACCAAAATAAAAATAGATAATTGACTGTCTAAACAAAAATAGTAAATTGCATTGTGGAGTTTATAATGTATTTATAAGTAAAATACATGACAAAACTAACATAAAGGGCAGGAGGGGAGAAATGAATGTATATTACTGTAAGGTAAGGGGTATAATTTTAAGCAGACCTAAAAAATGAGTAGGGGTAAGTGCAAAAAGCCAAGAATAAACAAGACAATTCTAAGGAAAAGAACAAGGTAGAGTGACTTGCCCTACCAGATACCAGACTCTTGTTGTAAAACTACAGTAATTAGTGAAAGGTGTACTGGCACAGGGATAGGCAAGAGAATAGAACAGAAAACCTACGAACAATTCCACACATACATGGAAACATCATATATTGCAAATAGGGCACTACAGATCACTGAAAAGGGCGGACTATGTAACAACTGGTGCTGGGACTATTGTTTACCTGAGAAAAAAATAAAGTTGTATCCCTATCTCAAACCACACACAAAATTCAACTCTAGACCTAAATGAAGGGAGCAAAACTTTAAAGCTACGAGAAGAAACAAAGAAGAAAATATTTGACATCATGGGAAAGAAGGTTTTCTTAAACAAGACAGAAAGGCACAAATCATACATGTGAAAAACTACATTAAAATTAACTCTGATCATCAAAAGAGCACGATAAAGTCAAGCCACAGATGAGGAGAGGATATGTGCATTACATATAACCTCCTAAGAATTAGTATGAAGAATAGATAACGAATTAATAGAAACCAGGAGGAAAAGGGCATAGAACCCAAGAGGAAAATAGCTGAAAGACAGGATAGGCAATTCTCAGAAGAGGGTATGAAATGGTCAAAATATTAAAATAAGTAATCAGGGAGATGTAAATTAAAATGAAATAACCTTCTCAC